CGTTGGTAGTCGTGGAATACAAAGACTGCTCTGATGTCTCTAGACTCTGCACAGCAGTGGGAACGTCTGGCGTTCTTCTGGATATCACTGAGAAGTGCCTGACTTCTCTGTCTGATGCCAACGGTTTGGGCGATGTAAAGGTGAGGCGTTGATCGGGCGTTACTATGATGACTGGCGAATGTGGATCAGGGTTAGAAGGCGGTTTCGTATTTAGCCTATTTCTTGGCTTGGCCCGCGTGCGTTGGAGAAATAGATAAAGAATAATTCCTAGGACACCGAGGAAAGAAGTCGCCCCTAGGGCGAGATTGATCATCTGTGCGATGACCATCATGCTAGATGCAGGGCATTCAAACCAACATCAACGGGTGGACTGGAAAGACTCACTGATCTGTAGATGCACTGGTTGAAGAAGGCTGTAATTTGGGGCTACTTGCCCGAAGATCGAAAGATTCGCTCTCAGCGAAGGGCGTGTCTGCGTCAGGCCTGAGCATCTGTACTGTCAATAATGTCGACAAGGAATGGAAGCGACTGACGTACTCAGAGTGAAGGAGTGCACGAATGATACAGTTCCTGTGTCAGATCCGTCAGAGAGAAGCAGGCACAAACACTTGTGGGACCCACCCTAAAGAAACAATTGATATATCTTCAGTCGTATCGGACGTAAAATCGGCGACGTCAGAAACAGAATCGTCGGTCTTCCCGTTATTCGTGCAGTACATGGATAGGTAGAAGTCGGATGGATCGCCCTCTGAGTAAGCCAGCGATACGGAGATGGAGTCGCCCGTCCGCACATTGTCAGGGACAGAGGCGGTGATATTGAGTCCAAATGACCTGATTGGAATGGATCTGCATGAGGTACAAGGATGAGAAGCAATATCTTTAATACAACTGCAAAGCGACGCACAATATGAGCATGAGCAAGCCATACATGGGCCCTCCAATGAAAACCAGAAAGAACAAAGTGCCAAGCGGATATGAGAAAATAGGGAACGACAAGGCGCAGAGCAAGGAACGACAGGGAAGGGCGATCTAGTGAATGATAATTCCATGCTTATATATATGGAGGCAGGATGGGAACATCACGGAGATGGTTGGGAGGACACTGATCATCTTTCTCACATTCCGTGCGACTGTTCAGCTGTTTGGAAGAGATATGTTCGCCGCGTCTCTCAAATTGAGGTCAGGTCTCAAAAGAAGAGCAAGCACGGGCAACGAGGGTATAAGTAATGTCATAATTGAGACACAGACGCTGGCGGCTATGGATGTCGAAACGGGAGAAGATGGAGCTCCTTGATGATACAACTTAGCCTTGTATACAAGGATCACCGATTAAGATCACTTACCGAATCAATTAATCATCGCTTGGGAGGCTATCCTATTCCCTTTGATATCTTCCCATCCATCATCGGCCCAGCACGTTCAAACGTTAAGTGAACGAAGCGATGTACATCTCTTTGAGGTGTTCCGATGTTACGAATCTAACACGAATCCTGATGACGATGGCCCGGAGTTGTCAGCTGGACTTTAAGACTGTAGTAGGAGGAACATACTGGAAATGCAATAGCATCGGCGAAGGGGTACTACCACGAACGAATCTGTTTAATACAGAACGTCAAAGAGTCGTGTGAAGTTGGAACTTGGCAGGAAGACGTTGAAACGATGCAGCGGAGCGAGTTCGGCCCGAAACCCCCGAATATTGGGGAGACCTGCAACGACCGAGACGAGCCCTAGGGCGATGTATGCGGGATATGCAGGGTGCCCTACGAAGGCTGCTGCCCACCTTGCAAGGTGCCGGGAGATGGCTGACCTCTTAGTGCGTTCTCTTCCCTCGATACTACGAACTACGTCCTCGCTTATCTCACACAGCCTGTAACCTTTACCATCGTCGATATATTGTCATTTCCTATCTGCTCAGGGTCTTTAGTGTCGGATTCGGAAGTAAACACGGAACACACACCTAATACACACATGATACATGAGGAGCGCTAGAAAAGGTCTCGAGTCAGCGAATATCCGGGGGGAAACGAATGAAGACATACTTTTCTATAACGACGTGCGTCTCCGGACAACTTAGCTTCCAGCCCGAACTCCTTCCAATGCGAGCATCTCCTCTTCAAGAGTTCGCGCCGCACCTTCCACTCCGCACTCGTAGCTCTAAACCATCCCCGAGGTTAGCACACAGTCAAATCTCGATACAAAATTCACTTACTTTGCAGACATCCTTCCTGCATATTCCTACCCTCTGCTAACGATCTCTCTAATTGCTCTTCCACTTTGCACAAGCCAAGGTAGATTAGAGATTCGTCACTATCGACCATTGGCCGTGAGGCTTGCTTACCTTTGCAATGAGGCTGCTAATAAGCCAGTCAGCCGTACCCAAGCGATACCGCCGACGGAGTATCCATATAGCTACTGGCGGGACCTACAACGGCCCAATGTTAACTAGAATAGGTAACAGGAGCCAATACACGTACCTGGCCTGCGGATACCATGACACGCGTGCTTTGAAGTATACTTGACGGTCAAGGTTGACTCTTGTCGTCAATGCCTCCGTCATTCACAGCGATTCCCGCTACGCCCAGACGTCGGCCGGAAATCGAACCTTTAAACCTGGCGAACTGTCAAGTGCAGGCCGTTAGCGAGTTCGACATCAAACGAGGGCTTCTCGCTCACCAGACCTCAAATACGAACTCGTCCTCAATTTCAGATATCCGCCTAACCACTTGTCAGACAGTGCAATTGGTAGCCGGACAGGCTATACACACCTCGGTTCTCCTCATCAGCACGCAATCCTACTGAGTCCCATCAAGCGCGCCGTCGTCGTTGTAACGGCAGCCTCCGTGTCATTGATACATCTTGTTGAGGGACAAGAATTGGTCCGCGTATGTTGTGAACGCATTCTCTAAAGAAAATTAAAACACCGAGATGACAAGAAGATGAAGGGAACCTGACTCACCAGCTTAAGACAAAAATATCCGCGCCTACCAGCAGACGCCCCCCAACACATCCCCGCGCTCTGCCGAATGTTGTGCTGGCAGCGATTACAACGGGGCATGCTGCTTCGATTATCGATAGTCGTCCCGCGGCGGTTGTCTAGGTCCTCGTTGAAGCATCTTAGCAAGCGGAGATGAAGGATTAGCCTGAGACAGTATTTTTTTAAAACTATGGAACGTACCTCGAACACCGTCAAGCTAGCCGTCGTTGAACAGAGGCTACTAGAGGTCATCCCGTTAGATGAGAGACGGAACAAAGTGAAGAAATGGATTACCGTAGCATCGAGATACAAAGAAAAAACCCTTCTTTGATGAACGAAAGGCTACTAAGCTTTCAAAGAAGCCGGGACTCTGATAACAGAAGTACATACCATTCAGTCAGACCTCGATGTTCAACGTTGAGCTTCACGGCGCCAGAATAACCTTAGGCAATGTCAGAAACGGAGCATCGCCAAGAAGACAAATGAACTCACCGTCATCAACAACGAGCTCGATGACGTCGTCGTGGTCACTGTAAGAGTGACAAAACATGTCAACAAACGCGTCGTCCAAAAAGGAAGCTGACGGCGACGGTCGCTCCCTATCCCGAATCGAGCTCGACTGCATTCACGACAAGGCGTACAGCGGCGGAGAACAGTAAAAACAGGACAACGATGAAGAGAAGTTTGCCGAGGACGAGGGGGGGGGGAAGAGAGGAAGGGGGAGAAAAGAGGGAACGAGCAGGATGGTGAGGACAAGGAGAGAATCTACCTCGTATTTAGAGGATTTCGTATCAGTCTGGAGCGCAAGCCCAGGCAAAATACATCCACTCCATTACGGTCTGTCGCAAGGCACGCGAATATCGGTCCTTGAATTCTGAGATGACTGGAAATTGGAAGATCTGTAAAATGGGAGATTGCAACGAGTGAGTAATCGAGGTCGCCGCGTTGCGTAGGCGTAGCTTCCGAACAGTACTGGAACCGATATTACTCCATTTTAGAATAGAAGATTGAGTATATAGTACAGTAGGGCGCTTCCAGCCTGCGAGGGGTAAAAGTAGAGAACAGAGACTCAGGAGAATGCATCATTCAGATTTCTTCGAGAACTAGAGATACAGCATGGTCTTGAACGTCAAGACAATCAACTCTGCCAAGGTTTAATAAACATTCAAGTGACGATACTTTGCACGTACAATATATCTGCGGGCGCGTTCTACCAATGCAAACGATGATTCGGGCACTGATACCCATCGGGATTCTTTAACAGATACAGCTGGTGGTATTCCTCCGCGTTCCACCAAGGCCCGGCCTCGACAATCTCTGTGACGATCGTCCTCCCTGACGGCGTAAAATGTTTCTCCTGTACCTCCTCTGTCACGCGTCTGGCAACAGTCGCTTGCTCGGGCGAGTGCGTGAATATGGCAGAACGATATTCTATTGGGATATGGAGAGGCGCAACAGATACGGAATGAGAGACGTACGTGTACCGGTATCCTTGCCTTGGCTGTTCAAAGTCGTCGGGTCGTGTGTGCGGTAGAAAAACTCTATCATTCGTATTAGGTCACGCCTGGCATCGAGAAGGATGGCGACGTACCAACGAGCTCATCGTACCCCACCACAGCCGGGTCAAATTCGATGTTGACAGCTTCTGCGTGGTCCGTTGAGCCTGTACAGACAGTCTTGTAGTCCGGGCTCGTCGCGTCTGATTTGCCGCCAGTGTATCCCACGGCGGTGTTGATAATCCCCTTGCCCTCGGGGTAGTGCTTGAGGAAGATATGCTGGACGCCCCAGAAGCATCCTGAAGCGAAAGTGGCGATTTCGGTTGACATTGCTAGTGGATGTTATCTAACGAGATATCCTCCCAGGGGTAGGTATACTGGGCGCATGTGAGATGAGTAATGCATCCAGGGAATCACTGCAATTCGCGCCATGGATGACAGAGATGAGAAATTTATTCACGTGCTAGTCAGTATATCCCTGATTCTGTTCGTCATACTCCTGATTAGGTTTGACACTCTAAAATTTAGTTGGGTCGATGGCGAAGTTGGTTATCGCATCCGTCTCACATTGGCATCCATCGGTTCATACACGGAAGGTCCTCAGTTCGATCCTGAGTCGACCCATTTTCCTTGTCGAAGTTATTCTTTTTCTTCAAGTTGTACTGCGGGCGCGGCGCGGCAACAAGAGTTCAGACTCAAGAGTGAGCACTCGGCAGAGTTCTCAAATTTCAGTTTAACTTGCCTTCTATTTGGTCCCAGCTGTTGCATGTAGAGGTGATGAAACCTACTTGATATCCATTTCCTTTTGTTCATTAAGCCCGCTATGTCTTGAGCCTGGTCCCGGCAGTAATCAGAAGAAGTCATTGAAGATCAGGAGATAAAACATTCACATGAGGTTACAGGTATGCTTTGGTACAACGAATCAACTAAACTCTTATGTAAAAGGCAGATGTACCTCTTCGCGAACGTGATCCTTTCCGATTGGCGACATCACCATCCACACCTGCACGGGGATCCATCCATACGCGTCTGGCTTGATAATACCGGTGGGTTGAGCGTCCAATGGTGCAGTGATACGAGCAACGATTTTCTGTCGTGTATCTTTGGCAAGGACGCCAAGGAGGAGCTGGTGAACAAGTCATCCGACGCCGTACCCACCCTTTTCTTATGGTCACGGTATTGGATCATCGTCAAGTGCCGCATCCACGTTGTAGCAGAAGGCGCGAGTTTGCATACGAATATCATCTCCGGCCGCAGCGTCAGAGATAGACGCACGCCAGTTCGAGCAGGATGAAGGAGAACGCGGATTCTTCCGTTGGGACGACAGGTTGCGTAGAAAATCGATATCTCCACGCAACACCCAATCAAGTCCCGGTGCTTAGAGACGAGCTATTCGTCCAGGCTACGTCCTCAAAATACCACAGATGACGACCTAGGAAAACGCTACGCGTCCGCACAGCCTCGTCGTAGTGACCCCAAGCCAACGCTTCTCACTCCACGTCTTGCCAAACGTATAAAGACTCTCGCCATGGGATCACTCCCCCGCAAACTGTACTCCACTCTCTCTGCTGGTCAGAGAATACCACTGATGCATATAACGATCCCTTTCCTCATTTCGGCGCTCGCTGTCTCTGCGAGCGCGGCCAGACTCGGATGGAGGCAAGTTGACCACTCCACTGGTTCGACAACAACCGAAGCTTCCACCATAACTTCCACCGGTAGTACCCCCACGACTTCCCCCGAAAGCACCACCAATGCATCTTCCACCGACAGTACCACCACAACCCCTTACACTGGCAGTACCAGCACAACCTTTTCCACCGACAGTACCACCACAATTTATTCCACCACCACCACCATAAGCACATTCCCCACCAGCACGACGACGACGACCTCTTCTCCATCGTCCAGCTACGCACCCACCGGGTCACTCATAGGAAGAGCGACGGATTCAGATGATAGTGGCGAGGAGTACACTTGTACGTGTACGCCCAAGTCGAGTATCACGACACACATTGGGATACCTATCCAGACGGGCGGTGTCAATGAGAAAGGGATCTGAGGGATAGTTTAGTTGTGTATAGCATGAAATCATAATGTTTTCGTACCTAATATGATGGTTGGCATCTACAAAGATGTTGCTAGCAGCTGAGGAAACGTCGGGACCTGGCATTAAGTCGTCTTGCAGAGAGATAGAGGGGTGGCGAGCGTGATGCAATGTACAGCTGCAACGCGTGTAGTTCACGGGACGGAATAACGCGTCCAGCCTGACCCTTTCTCGCGGAAGATGGATGCAAGTCGACCAGTGTCAAAGTGCTGTTCTTGAGCCGTAGTTCACTTGTATACTTGACACCAAGCGATGAGATAACAGCAATGTATGATGGGTTGCGAATTTATGGCCGGAAAGTCAAACAATGATCATCATGGTTGTTATGGACGACAGTGGTGGCTCAGAGGAACAATATCGAAGACGTGCTTGCTCGTTAAGACATTTATGTGGTCTGTAGGATGTATCGTGAGTAGAGTAATTGCGCAACACCACTGGAATGAATAACTGACGGCATATATCCACATTTCATCAGAGAGGCGGTCACGATACAGTACACCCATCACGACAGCAGCACGGTTGCTGATGGCGCTCTCCGCACTCTACCGCATCGCCACCATCTATTATCGTCCCGCCGAAATCATATAAAAGCCGCTTCCATACAACACAATACTCCAACTTGACGTTCACCTCTTCCCTGCCGGCCAGGGATAGACAAACAAAGCACTCCTCTTCAATACACCTCTCGCAACTTCTTTCTCCATCATGCAGCCCATCTCGATCTCCTTCCTCGCCATCGCGCTCAGCCTCGCAGCCGCCAACGCCATGCCCGCCATGGAGAACGCCAACAGCATCGCCGCGCGGCTTGCCCCTACCCCCAAGACAGGCAGCGGTAGCAGTAGCACCGGTGCTACCGGTGGCTCTAAATCGGGTCTTGGAGGAGACTCTGACTCGAGTATGGACATGTCGGACTCCTCATCGCAAACGACTCTCACGTGTACCTGCAAGCCTGCGAAAGGCAAGGGTCTGGGTGGTAGTGGGATGGATTCTACCGCGATGAGACGTCGCGCCAAAGGCTCAAGTGGCTCCTCGGACTCGGGAACGAAGTCGGATACAATGGGTAGTGGTGGAACAGGCGCAGAAGGGGGGAAGCAGAAGTACACCTGCGAGTGCCAGCCCGGAAGCGGGCTTGATTCTGAGCCGCCTCTAGGCGATGATCCTTCTAGCAGCGACCCTTCTATGGGCGGCGACTCGTCGTCTCTTGGGGGCGATTCGTCATCTCCTGGAGGCGATTCGTCGTCTCTTGGAGGTGATTCATCATCTCTCGGGGGTGGCTCGTCATCTTTTGGAGGTGACTCTACTTCGACGGGAAGCGATCCATCCTCTGACGATCTTGACTCGACTTCGACGGATGAAGAGGAACCGATGGGCGATGAGGAAATGTAGGAAGCGAGTAGAGAAGGAAGGACGGAAGATGGATATTTCTTGGAATGATCATTTCAGAGCAGCGTCCACTCCCGAGTTTGCTCTGCATGCTAGCCAAAATTTCTTGAATCCAAGCCTGCGCTTTGAAACAAACTGACTTGCAATATCAACGAAGAAATAGCCTGTTACGGCTGCCGGAGTCGACATCTCGTATTCACTGATACTCCAGGAAACTGAGCGGGCGACTGCCGCCTTGTCCGTAGCTGCAAGGCAAGACAGAGAACGCTACATTCTATTCATCTGCATGAGTATACAAACATCAAAGACAGAAAAGAGACGCACTGGATTCCGACACCACCAGTCACTCCCTCAATATCCTTCAGAGGCCCTTGTATCCTATCCAAAATTTCGTAAGTCAGAGCATATGCCCTGAAACAAATGGACTTGCGATATTGGGTATCGCGACGGCATCGATTGAGAACGAAAAAATAGCTTGTTACAGCTACCGGAATCGGTTAAGTCTCGTATCCGCCTTGAATCCGATTCTCGATGTTTGTTCCAGGGAACTACACAGACGAGTGCTATCTTTTCCGTAACTACAAGGTAAAACAGAGAACCCTATCTTCATCTGCATGAAGAAACAAACATCGAAGACAGAAAAGAGACGTACTAGAATCCGACCCATCGCAGCTATTAGGTTGCGGGGTGCATACACCTTCAAGGAGGAGCGTCATTGCAACATTCGATGTGGCTGCATAAGAGGAATGACACGGTATAAAGGATAAGGGATAAGGGAGACGTGCAGCGTGGGAAGAAAATGTTGGGATTGACGGAACATCGGGCCGTCCACCTCTCAGTCTCCCCTGCGTGTACTTCTCAATCTCCAGGTCCCATAACGGTGGCCGAAAGGCTGTATTTTCTGCATTGGCTGCTGAACTTTCGTAACCGAGAAATTTTTCAATGAAAGATACTTATCACACCCGCTGCCCCGCATGGTTATTGGTTCGCAGCGGGCTTCTTCTCCAGCATCATTGTGTCATTCAAACATGGACATTCATATTCTTCAAGGAAATCACGATGCCGGTAACTAATTCTATTAGGTCCCTGACATCTATGTTCAAGGTACAATCTTAAGTATGTTTCTTCTCAGTACTTTTAGCTACCGGGACCAGTACAGAGCTTCTTCGATGTGCAGCGTGCTACTATTCAAGATTCCTGATGAGGCACATTGTATCCTACGTTTTGCGTTCCCCACCGCCCTAAAGATGAGTCACCAGTCTTAGTACATGTTTATGGAAAACACTTTACCATCCTGTAGCTCGCTTCGGCTGGTCGCCGATCAGCAAGTTCTCCCTCCCTTCCTATATGAAAGCAATGCGAGTCAGTATCGTCTCCTCAGCTCCCACCCAGCCATGCACTCACGCTTGCTCCCCCTAGTGCACCGTCTATTCTCATGCGAAGCCTGCGACCGAGCCTTTAAATCCCAAACCTCGCTAGACGAGCACTACCGCGGCTCGCCGAACCACCCAAACTGCTTCGTTTGCGGTCGTGGATTCAAAAATCAGGATCTGTGCGATGCCGTGAGTCTCTTTGTCTAGTACGCGGTCGAGTTCTTCCCATTCAAACTCTCATATAGCACCATGACGAGGCGCACCCCCGTGTAGTTTGTTCCATATGCAGGATAACAATGTACGAACACGAGCTGCCCCAGCACCTCAAGGAGTCCCCGCGCCATCCCACCTGCGAATTATGCACGGACGCCCTGGGATTCGAGAGCGATGCAGAATTCAGCTTGGTATATCATTCATTTCTCATTAATTCTTGCCCACTTAGCCTTTGTGTAGCACTGTAAAACGATGCACGCTGAATCGTACTGCATCAAGTGCCGCCGTGTATTCACCAATGCCAAAGGGCATTACTTGGATTCGGTCGTACATCCAAAATGTGAGTGGTGCCAAGACCCTGTGGGGTTCGCTGGCGAGAGGGAATATACTGAGGTACGTATTTTCATGTTAAGCTGTTCGTGCAGATGCTGATTGAAAACTCTAGCATGTCAAGGCTGTGCATTTTGGGGCCATGAAGGTACGCTGACCCGTTTCGTGGATTCGATTGCCAGTCCTGAAAGAAAGTACACTTAGTTTCCAGCGCCTAC